TGGTAGCCCAGGCTGGCCTTGAACTCACAAAGATCCGCCTGCCTCTGCCTCCCGAGTGCTGGGATTAAAGGCGTGCGCCACCACCGCCCGGCTCGAGATTTAAATTTTAAGTTCCTGACATGGTGGTACACTCCTGTAATCCCAGCACCAAGGAGCAGAGGCAGGAGGATTTGGGTTTGAGGCCACTTCATCTACATTTGCTTTTTTTATTTTTTTAAGTTTTGCTATTTACATGTTGTGGATCACCACTTGCTACATAGACTGTTCTGATTCCGTTGTGGTTATATTAAATGCAGGCTGAACTCCAGCTGAAAGCTAGCTATATGGTATGTCTTATATTTTTCTTGTTAATAACTAATAGATACTATATCACCTACAATTCCCTCTCTCCTTCCTCTGAGTTCCCAGCCTCCATCCCCACCCCAGTGATCCTGAGATTAAATCAAGGCTAGCTAGGCCAGGGCTCTGCCTATGAGCCACATCTCCAGGCCTTGTGCTTTTCATATGAATGGAATCATGTAGTGTGCGGTCTTTGGCGCCTGGCTTCATTGGCTTAGCATAGTGTGTTGTCAGTCATCTGTGTGACAGGCATGTTAATATTTAGTGTCATTTTATTCCAAATAGCATTTCACTGTCTGGATGGTTCATTTTGTGCTAGATATTTGTCTCTACTTTTCATTATTATGCATGATGACTTGTGTTTCTGCTTTCCAGCCTACTTGTGATTTAAGTTACTTTTTCTCTTCCTTCTCCCTCCCTCCTTCCCTCCTTCTCTTCCTTTCGAATCAAGGTCCCACTTTGTAGCCCTGGCTGGCCCAGAATTCGCTATGTAGACCAGATTGGCCTCAAACTCACAGAGATCCTCCTGCCTTTACATCCGGAGTGCTAGAATTAAAGGTGTGAACCACCACTCCCAATTTTAAGTTACATTTTTATAATTGACTTTTTCCTAAAGGTGAGCACAGCTGCTTCTAGATTGTAGTTCATATGACACTAGTTTATTGAGATTTGAAGAAATAACTTTGTCTTCTAGATATAATGCTATCAATTTTCACTCTTTTGCACTTATAGAAGAGAAGAGGAGACAGAGAGAGACAGAGAGAGAGAGAGAGAGAGAGCTGAAGATATACCTCAGTGGGTAGAGTGCTTGCCTCCCATGCAAAAGCTTAAATCCCGAGCACAGCTTAAGTGGCATGGTGGCACACACCTGTGATTCAAACACTAGGTGGCTGAGGCAGGATTATCAGTTCAAAGGCATCCTTTGCGCAAGTTCTAGGCCAGCCTAGGCTACATGAGTCTCTGTCTCCAAAAACGCAAAACATCAGTTGGATTTCATGTCTCTTAATTCAAGCTGAATAAATTTGAAGTTATCCCATCCTTAGTAATTTGTCAGTTATTGGATTGAGATGTGTTAAAACTACCATCGTGGTGAATTTTTCTGTTTTCTTTTGTCCTTTTGCTAAGCATAATTATTTACTGATTAATTTTAATTTTTATGGAAAATGTCATACCTTACACACACACACACACACACACACACACACACACACACACACACACGAAAATAGTGTGATTAATCATATTGCACCATGTATCTGTAACCACTGAGAATATATTGACCAACCTTACCTCGTCATTCCTTCTACCCTACTGTTAATCCGGTTTCTCAGATTATTTCAAGTAAACCATCAACATTATTGCTGTTTTGTCGGAGTGACTGTGAGCTTCGTGATGTGGATGCTGGGAGCTGAAACTGGGTCCCCCCAAGAGCAGCAAGCACTCCTAACTGCTGTGCTCTCTCCAGCCTCTTTAAAATGGTTTTATTTTGTATATTTGAAAGAATATTACTGCTCAACTCAAGTTGACAATTGTTTTTTCTGCTTTAAAGATCGTATTCCAGTGTTCTATGGTTCCTCTTGTTGCTGCTGAAAAATAAACAGAAGTCTAATTTCTGTTTCTTTTGTTGTTGTTGTTTTTGGTTTTTCCAGACAGGATTTCTCTGTGTAGCCCTGGCTGTCCTGGAACTCACTCTGTAGACCACGCTGGCCTCCAATTCAGAGAGATCCGGCTGCCTTTTTATTTTATTTTATTTTATTTATTTTTTAATAGTCTCATTAACTACTTTGAATGTTATCTTTTGGGGGGTATTCTGCAGTTTCACTGTGTGATAAGCATGTCATAACAACTAGATGATAGTGATTTCTAGTTATTAACTTTACGTATCTTTGAACTCTCCTAAATGACAGTTAATGTTCTATAGACAATTATGTAGTTAAAGAATCACCAGTATTTACTATTTGTTTTGTTTTGTTTTTGAGACAGGGTTTCACTGTGTAGCTTTGGCTGGTCTGGAGCTCACAGAGATCTGCCTGCCTCTGTGCCCAAGTACTGGGATTAAAGGCCTGTGCCATCGGGCCCAGCAAGAGGCTGGTTATTTAAAGAAACATTATGGCGTTCAAATTGGTGGTTTGTGCAATCCTGGCACTGGGAAACTCAGGCCGCATTGAGAGTTCAAAGCCAGCTTGGGCCACATAATTCTAGGTCAGCCCAACTGCATAGCAAGATCCTGTCTAAACAAAGGGAAAAACAAAACAATAGCCACCCCACCCCCACCCCCACCTCGCCCAAAAGGAAAGGAGGGGGAGGCCATGTTAAACCTTTTTAGAAGACAACACTGGAGTTTGCTTTACTTTATGTGGAGTGGTTGGTGTATCTGCGTCCTGATGTAAGTAGGTACGGTTTCCTTTGCTTTTCACAGCATTACTGGAAATAATTATGAAAAATGGAAGCACTGCCGGAAACAGCACACATTGCCGGAAACCTCCAGGGAGCAGTGACCAGAGCAAGCCCACCTGCGCCAAGGACAGCGCACCCAGCAGTGGTGAAGGTGGAAAAGTCTATACCAAAGACCAAGTAGACGGAGTTCTCAGGTAGAGTGAATGGGATTCTGCCTCCTCCCTGATCATTGATTCCCATCGGACCTAATTGATGTTTAATGCCTAAGACAGGTGTTTGAAGCACAGTTTACTAGGAAGGAAATGGAGGTGCAACCTGGGTGTCCTGGGTGTCTGTTCTTTGTGAGATTAGTCTGTAAGAAGCCAACTCTCTGGAAGGTTTCATTCTTCCAAATCAACGATAAGCCACAAATGTAAACTAATGATGCCAGCATTGATTCTGTGCATTGTTTGTATAGTAGTGAAAGAAATTTCAAAGAATGAGTTGCTTTGCTGTGATGTCCAGCTGGAAATGGGCACATTTCCTAGGACAACTGAGAGAAATGGCGGCAATGCATTGCATTTCCTGCCCAAACACACTTTTTTCCCTTTCCATTCTTGCAAGGCTGCCCCTGTGTACAGACACCACAGTGCCCCTCTGTCCCCCTCAGTGATTCCCTCTGCCTTCCGAGCCTCTCCACACACTCCTGCATGGGGCAGAGTTGGCTGGGGCTGAACAGCCAGAGACTTGGTTTTAGAAATACAGTGTTACTAATTTTATAAATAAAAAAAGGGTTTTCTTGAAAAAAAAAAAAAAAAAAGCTAAGCTCTTAGGTATGAAATACTTCAGAATAGATTGTTTTGTTTTCTGTTGGATGTTAAGCAAAGTGTGCTGATGTTGCTCTTCTGGGCAGCTGGAGTTTACAAGCGAAGGGCTCTGAAGATGATGTATCAGAGCTCTCAGGGCGGGTGATTCCATGGTATTGGGAACTCATGTAAGAAAGCATAGCTGAAGCAGCAGAGTGGGTGAATTCACACCGAGGAAAACCTATTCCCTAGTCAGGGTAAAGCCATGAAGGAGGACATTTGACTGGTGTGGATGGTCGCAAGCATTTCAAAGGCATAAGTGAAGCCACTGACCACTTCATAGTGCCGCACCTTGCCAAATTTGACTGAAAGAGTGAGTGAGGGACTGTTTTCGGGCTTCTTCTGGGGACAAGCGATAAGGAAACAGTATGCTGGAAACTATATCCTAAAACAAGTTGTGTTTTCCTGCAGGCATTACATTATACTAGAAGAACATTCTCCATGAATCCTTTCTCTTGGGCTTGTATGTGTACATGTACAATACAAGCATGCCTGGTGCCTGAGGCCAAAAAAGTGTCTGATCCCCAGGAACTGAAGTTACAGGAGGTTGTTAGTGCTTGGAACGGAACCTAGGCCCTCTGGAGGAGCAGCAAGTACTTTTAACCGCTAAGGCATCTCTTCAGCTCCTCCATGACTTTTCTGATTACAAATTTAATTATATTGTATGTGGTTTTTCTGAGCCCCCTCTCCTAGAATAGAATCACCTGTCTGCTTAGAAGGGTCACCAACAAACAACTACAATTGTCAATTTTGGAAAATATTATTCCCCATTTGGTGGTTTTTTTTTTGTTGTTGTTGTTTTTTTAATCTATATTTCCTCTCCCCTACCTTGGAGTGTGTGTGTGTGTGTGTGTGACAGACAGACAGACAGACAGAGACACAGAGAGAGAACACGTGTGAGAACACACACAAGAGGAACTTAAAGGAATATTTGAGCACTGGTGTGAGTGTGCCTATGTGCATGCATGTGTGTTTGTTTTTGTTCTCTCCAAGGGCCAAAGGACGTGCCTTTGGGACGGACGTCTTGAGGATGAAGGAGTGAGCACTGAGAGTGATGTGCGAGCAGAGATGCTATCAGAGCGGGGCAGGTGGAGACTCGAGGGCCTTCTGTCTGCGGCTTCCGTCAGGGCTGTGAGATTGGAGGAAAGCTGTTGGTGAAGTTGAGAGCTTGAGGAGACTAGTACCAGTGTGGGTCCCTGTGCAGATGGGATGGAATGAATGCAGATTTAGCATTGACCGAGGGTCCAGCTATTTACGGTCGCAGTTCCTTATGGACAGATGGATTACTGTAGAAGCATTATCTCCTGCATTATAGACTGATTCTCTAAACCAGTAACTCTACTGCATCCTTTAAATTCTATATAATGTAAATCATATCTATCTATATAATATAAATTGTATATATAAAGTCCCCTTCTGGGACCAATTATGGAACATTCTTTTAAGTGAAATCCCTAAGTTATTTGAAATGTTTCAGCCAGTCCCTTGTATGTAAGTTGCCTGGTTGTATAGTATATATAAATATATATTCATAGTAGACTTCATAAATGTGGCTCTAGTGAGGCAGCAGATTAGAGGCCAGAACTTGTACCTTGTCGTTTTGTGTTTGGTTTTATTTATACACAAGGGATTTTCCTCAGGAAAGTGCACTGTCTTGATAGAGAAGATGATTATGCAAACAAGTTGCTCAGTAACAGTCTGGCTCAGTGGGGAGAAGCCACGCAATGATACTGCACCCATTGCGTAAGGGCAGAGTTACAGTAAGACTGAAGAAAAATTGTGTAACTTCGCAAGCGAGCAAGCAGCCTGTGCCGCTAGGCTCTGGGTCTTTGAGTTGAAATAGGTTTTAAAAATAGAGGAAAGTGAATTTTATTTGAAGTTTTTAATACATCATTGTAAAACCATTTGTATTTTAACATGTCCAGTCAGTGTGCAATCTAGCAGGCAGTGGTAGTCAGCGCCTGCCACTGCTATTCAGCTCTGTCTTACTTGAGTAACAGAGACCGGAATTCAGATTTGGCGTAAGCTTCAGTCTCTGCTGTCTTCCTCTGCCCGTTTGTTTGTTTGTTTGTTTGCTTGCTTGCTTGCTTGCTTGCTTGCTTGTTTAGACCAGCTCATGCTGCATAGCCTAGACTGATCTTGAACTCAGGTTCCTTCTGCTTCAGCCTTCCTGCAGAGTGCTGGGATTGCAAGTGCCAGACTATAGTGCCTGGTCCGTTCAATTTCAGTTCTTTAAATTAGAGGAAGAGAAAGTACAGTTGTTAGACACATCAAAGGAACAGTGCCTTGACCCAGAAGTGTTTCCCTAAACACCAGTTAAATGTGGAGCCTGTTTATTTATTTGAGACAAGGTCTCACATAGCTCAGGCTGGTCTAGAACTCTCTGCAGCTGAAGATGACTCTGATTTCCTGATCTGTCTCTAGCTCCTGAATGCTGGGGTCATAGGTGTTTGCCACCATGCCCAGTTTATGCCATGCTGGAGACTGAACCCAGGGCTTCATGCACATTAGGCAAGCACTCTACCAACTGAGGTATATCCCCAGCCACTGGAATCAATTGAAATGAACATCTATAACACATTTAAAAAGAGCGGGAATTAAAAAATGACTTTCCTCTCCTGCCACTATATTTCCAATCCACCAAAGGAGGCATAAACAGTGGACGAGGCAGGTCTAGTGGGCCTCCCTTTATAATATTTTCTTCCCAGATAGGTGACGGGGACCCCTGTCTTTTAAAGTTGTTCAGAAAGGAGATTTACTTTGGTTTATGTTTCTGGTCCAGTGGGTGGTGTGCATCTATGTGTGCTTTTCTTGCTGGCAGAGTTCCAAAACAGCATGGGGGAGAATGCACATGTGTGTAAATGACCTGTCCTTTGAAGCTTCTTTTTAAAAGTTTGTTTTATTATTAAGGACACAGGAAGTTTGACTCTTTCAGAAAAGAATGAACTAAACACATGGCAAACGCTTATTTCAGCTAGCAACTTTACAGGACCTAGAATCACCCTGGTGACGGACTCATCTGGGCACATCTGTGAGGGATTTTCTAGAGTAGGTTAATTGTGGTGGGCAGATCCTCTCTGTCTGGGCAGTACCCTTCCCTGGGCTGGACTGCATAAAAAGGAGAAGGCTGAGCAGTGAGCAGTCATTGCCCTCTGCTCTTCAGTGTGGTTAGGCTCCGCATCTTCCCTGCTGTGACAGGCTTCCCCACCAGTATGAGTCAAAATTGCTTTCTAAGCTGCTGTAGTCAGGCATTTGACCACATTAACAAGAAAAATAACACATAGCTGATGAAAAAGCTGTGATGTGAGAAAGTAGGGTGTCTTAATCATTGTTCTGTTGCTATGAAGAGACACCATGACCACAGCAACTCTTTTAAAAGAAAGCATTTAATTGGGGCTGGCTTACAGTTTCAAAGGTTTAGTCCAATGTTTTCATAGTGGGAAACTTTCAGCATGCAGGCAGATATGGTGCTGGAGAAGGAGCTGAGAGTTCTACATCCAGATCTGCAGGCAGCAGGAAGCAAGACACTGAACCTGACTGGAGCATTTGACACCCAAAGCCCACCCCCAGTAATATACTTCCACCAACAAGGCCACACCCACTCCACCAAAGCCACACCTCCTAATCCCTGTCAAGTAGCACCTTTCCCTAATGACCCAGCATTCAAATATATGAGCCTCTATGAAGCGTTTCTGTTCAGACCACCACATACGGTAAAGAGTATATGATGGAGCACTACTTGAAGTGTGTAATTGTCCTGGCTAGTTTGTATGGCCAGCTTGACACAACCAAAAAGAAAGAGGGAATCATAATGGAGGGTTTGCCCAGATGAGATTGGCCTGTGGCCATATCTGTGGGAATCATCTGGACTGTTCATTGGTGTGGGAGAACCTATTGTACTGGTTAGTTTTATGCCAGATTGACACAAGCTAGAGTGATCTAAAAGGAAAGAATCTCATTTGAGAAAATGCATCCATAAAATCCATTTTAAAAACTAGTGACTGATGGGAGAGTCCAACCCATGGTGGGTGGGGCCATCACTGGACTGATGGTCCTGGGTTCTCTAAGAAAGCGGGCTGAGCAAGTCACAAGGAACAAGGGAGTAAGCAGCCCCCTCCATGGCCTCTGCATCAGTTCCTGCCTCCAGGTTCCTGCCCTGCATGAGTTCCTGCCCTCACTGCTTTTGATGATGAACTGTTAAACGAACTGTGAGTGAAATAAACCCTTTCCTCCCCAGCTTTCTTTTGGTCATGGTGTCTCATCACAGCAATAGTTACTCTACCTAAGACACCAGCCTTCGAGGGCCAGTGCCACCCCTGGGCTGGTGGTCTTAGGTTATATTATGAAAGCTGGCTGATGATGAGTGAGCCAGGGTGAGTGAGCTCGTAAGCAATGTTCCTGTGTGCTCTCTGCTTCAGTTCCTGCTCGAGTGCAGGGTTTCCCTCCGTAACAGACTTACCTGGAAGTGTAAGGCAAGATGAACCCTTTCCTCCTCAGGTTCCCTTTGGTCCCGCAGCAGAAAGCAAACTGGAGTGACAGTGTGCAGCCAATCCTTATCTTCACCTGTAGTCGTCATGGACTGCGCCTGGTACACAGTGGATGCTCTGCAGTGCCGCCTTCCGCCACCACACCTTCCCTGACACATAGTTCTAAACATGTCTAGGGGAAAGAATCTCCAAAGGACTTCATTTAGACTGTTTGTTGTTTTAAAAATGATGAGCGGCACTGGTTACCATGCAGTAAGATCATGAGGCACGAGCCACGACAAAACCCAGTATCAGAGCTTTATTGGGGTTGGGGGAAGCTTGTGCAGAGAGCAGAGAGAGAGATAGTGGGGGAGGAGAGAACAGAGAGGAGAGAGGAGGTCTGTGTTTGGCTTTTTAAGGATCCCCATGCACATGTGCAGGTAGGCTTACAGAGTTATGCCACACATGCAATGATTGTGTGACTGCCTTGCGCACAATGGGCAATCACAAAGCATGTGGATGACGTAAGATGCAAGACCTCTTGCTTAGCTCCTGAACTGCGCATATGCGGTCATACAGCTGGAGTGGCGGCAGAATCCTAACACTGTGACCTTAGTTAGGGCTTCTGTTGCTATGATAAAGACCACGACAAAAAGCAACCTGTATAGGAGAGGTTTTATTTTACCTTAGAGCTTTTAATCCATTGTCCAGGGACCTTAGGATAGGAACTTGGAGACAGGAACTTGATGCAGAGGCCTGGAGGAATGCTTCTTACTGGCTTGCTCCTCATGGCTTGCTCAGCTTGCTTTCTTATAGAACCCAGGACCACCAGCTCAGGGGATGGCACCGCCCATAGTGAGCTGAGTCCTCCCCACCAGTCATCAATCAAGAAAATGTACCACAGGCTTGCCCACAGGCCAATCTGATGGGGACATTGTCTTGGTTGAGGTTCCCTCTTCTGAAATGACTGTAGCTTGTGTCAAGTTGATATAAAACTATCCAGCACAATTGACCCTTTGTCAACCTAATGCACAAACACATCACTGTGAAGCCATAACTTTTCCTATTGTCCCCAAGATATCATTAATATCAATATCACAACATAAAACACAGTCCAAGCTTTAAGTGTCTCAAAATCTTTAAAAATTCAAGCCTTTTCAGTCTCTTTAAAATGTCCAAAATCAGCCAGGCATAGTGCTGAATGCCTTTAATCTTAGCACTCTGGAAACAGGGGCAGGCAGATCTCTGTAAGTTTGAGGCTAGCCTGGTCTACATAGAGAGTTCCAGGACACCAGGCCTACATAGAGAGACCCTATCTCAAAAAATAAAATATCCAAAGTGTCCATAAAAGTTCAAATTCTGTCAGCCGTGGGTTCCTGTAAAATAGAGAAGTAAGTTCATTGCTTTCCTTATTCCAAGAGGAAAGAATCGAGGCACAGTCAAAACCAGATCAAAGCAAAACCGAAGTCCCTCCCACACTGTAAAATTCAGAGTCAGGCTTCTGGGACTTACAATCTTGCTGGCTCCAGTGAGCTTGCCACGGCACATGTAGGGTGTCTCCTAGACTGAGGCCAGCTCCATGCCACAGCTGCTGCTGTCCTTGGTGTTCATCTCCAAGGAAACCAATTTCTGTAACTGTACCCTTCTCCTGTTTCCTCTCATGTACGCACTGCATCATGGGTACTTTCATTAGAAAGGGAGAGACAAGGTGCCTGTTGAGTACCAAGCACTGTGAGGGTAAAACCTGGCTCAGTTCCTTTTGAATTGGTCTGTGAGGTTTTTTCCTCTTGGGCTCCCCCCCTCCCTGCCCTTTCCCTTTTCTCCCCCATCTCTTCCCAGTTTTGCCCCTAGTGACCAGCTCTCCCAGTTAGCTTATCTGTGGTCATGCTCTCAAGACACAGAATATGGAACACAACTAAGGTTATAAAATATTGTACAAAGAAATGCACGTTTCCTAAAAAAAACGAGCCCAGAGCCTCACCCATGCATGCTGTGTGCTCTCTGCCACTGAGCTCTGCTCCCAGCCCTTACATCTGCCTTGGCTTTGGGGATGTCAGGTAATTTGGTTATTGGATGTTGTCATCCTAGAGTTTTCAGTGTTCTCCATTCCCTTCAGTATTTCTCCGCTTTCCTGATGGTTTTCAACACTCCAGACTTCAGTGTATAAACCTTTGTAAAGACCAAGTACATTAAGTAATCTCTAGGAATAGACTGATGAAAATTGGATGTAGCATGTCTTCTTTAATCCCCGTTATTAATTTTGAATGATTTATTAACACAGGACCCTGGGTCTGTTTTAGAGTAACTCATGTAAAATCTCAGTAGCCATGGTGTGGAGTTAGCTTGGCTTGGCTTCGGATGGGAGACCGCGTAGCTTTGCTCCTGTGCTTGGCTAGATCTGCACTGTGCACTAAGACTTCTCACCGGGTTTACTCCTTAGCTGTGACGTGCTGTCGAGAGTCTCTTCCACTCTAGTTACAGTGAGTGCACTGCCCTTCACCTGCACTCACCATGGGCTATACTTCTGGAGCTTCGATAAACTATGATGTGGACATTCTCATGGCTGGAGGAATTGTCTGTTTACCAAAGAGAATGGCACAAACAGCCTAGATAGGTCATCACACCAACAGATATTCCTTGTACCATTCTAATAGAGAGTGACCTCATGCTCTTGCTTGAAATTTATATCATACCCTTTCTTGTCCACAGCATAAACAAGTGTAAAAATTACTATGAAGTTCTTGGAGTTACAAAAGATGCTGGTGATGAAGATTTGAAAAAAGCTTATAGGAAGCTTGCTTTGAAGTTTCATCCAGACAAAAATCACGCCCCTGGAGCCACGGATGCTTTCAAAAGTAAAGTAACTTGTAAAGCTTCACTAAGGTCTTTTCTAGACTGCACTTACAGTGTTTCAGAATGTGGGATTCTTTTCTTCTGGTGCATTTAGAAACCAACTTAAGAATGTCTACAATCCTTTGGAACTTTAGTACTAGCTTCCACTCCCAGCCAAGTCAATGCAGAATGGCTGGTATTGGCAATGCTAAGTAACTTTTCTCCGTAGCATGCGTGCCTTGTAGTTTAGTTTGAGGAGGTAGATTGATGGTGTGCATTCACTTCCAGTGCTGACATCTGGCTCCAAGTCAACTGGAAGTGACAGTTTTAATGAGTTTTTCCTGGACACGGTCTAGAACCAGGATTTCCTAGACAGTCTGTTCTAGGGATGTTGGTATATCTAGGGATGTTTTTATATTTCTATGACACCTGGTCAGGTTTTATGATGCTAGAGTTTAAACTCAGGGCCATGTACATATTAGACAAGCATTCAGCTGCTGAGATGCATCTCCAGCCCTGGGGTTTATGAGCTTGGATCTTGCTGTGCAACTCAGGTTGGCCTTGAACTTAACAGTCTTCCTGCTTTGCCTCTGAGTGCTGAGGTCACAGGCATGCACAGCCAGGCACAGCACAATTCTCCATTCTTTGTGTGCATTTCTAGTAATATGATTCCTTTTGTTTCTTCAAAATTGATTTCTTATCTCTAAGTTTTGGTGAGTTTAGTAAGTGTTATATAAAATGTCAATAAATATTAAGTAACTGATTTTGCAATTTTCTACTTTGCATGTTGTAATGAAAGAGACATGACTATCTCTTCTCTCCATTACCCTTCCCTCCTCCTGTTTGCAATCCTTCCTTTAACTTTACCTTTCCAGGGAAGCGCTCTGTGGCTTCTCGTTGGCAGATAGAGTTGCTGGCAGTAGGACTCCTGTGCCTTGGCCTTATTATTAAATAAATGAACAATAGCAATAACTTCATGGTTTGTTATGGTTTCATTGTAGCCGTTAATGTGTTATCCATAGTGAAACATGTAACTTGGTGATTGTTGAGTCTTGTGAACTTGATATTCATAGAGCCAGTGTTTTGGTGGTTTCAGTAACATGCTGGGGTCTTAGAATGGAACAAAGGGAGTACTTGTGTTTTAAATGTTCCAAAAAAGAAGAGTTGATTGGTCCTTCATAAAAAAAAAATACCATTGCTGGGCAGTGGTGGCGCACGCCTTTAATCCCAGCACTCGGGAGGCAGAGGCAGGCAGATCTCTATGAGTTCAAGGCCAGCCTGATCTACAGAGTGAGATCCAGGACAGGCAACAAAACTACACAGAGAAACCCTGTCTTGAAAAAGAAAGCAAAACAAACAAACAAACAAACAAACAAACAAACAAAAAACCCAACTGTTCTTGGGGATTTAGCTCAGTGGTAGAGCACTTGCCTAGCAAGCGCAAGGCCCTGGGTTCGGTCCTCAGCTCTGGGGGAAAAAAAAAACCTTAAAATTGTTTACAATCCAGGCATTGTAGAGCATGCTTATAAACTCCAGCTTTCAGGAGGATCACAAGTTTGAGGCCAACCTGTTCTATGTAGCAATTTCCAGGTCAGCAGAGCTATGTACTATAAAATTGTCTTTCTTTTCCCATCATAGCTGGAGAGAGAGGTGGGGAGGGGAGGGAGGGTATTTGTTTACAGAACAGTTTTATTTGTTGAAGGAAGTTGCCAAGGACATGCATTTGGGAATTGGTAATGTACTCCAAGGAAAGCATTGCCAAAGCTGTGCTTGTGGAAAAGCACAGCGGAGTTTCCTTAACAGTGGCGTGTTGAAAGTGTGGTGAACTGGGCGAGCCAGAGCACCCAGCAGGTAAAGGCACTGCCACCAAGCCTGGCAGCCTGTGTGTGAGTCCGGGACTCGTGTGGTGGAAGGAGAGAACTGATTTCCCACAGGCCGTCCTATGAGCTGCACACACACAGAAATAAATGAAATAAAAAGTTAAAAAAAAAGAAGTGATAGGAAACTGTATTTTAACAGTTCAACATTATAAGTTAAAATGGTTTAATTTAAACATTTTCTTGTGGTCTCATGAGCTCACCAGACTCTGGTGGTTAGTTCCAACCCCATGACCACACAGGTGGACCTCCTTAAACTCAGTGCTTCACACACAAGAGAGATACAGTGTAGACTTTCCAGAGGAGGAGCATCCAGAGGCCGGGGAGTGTCAGCACTCAGCACGCATTCTACAGGTGTATAAAAGTGTCAGGACCAATTTAATACAATTACAACAGACTGTCTGTTTCAAAAGAGTTAGAGATATTTGTGTGATCCAAATGTTTGGGGTCGCCTGGTGTTGTCAATAATCCTTCCTGAACTGGAGAGATGGCGCTGTGGTTCAAGAATGTTGTTCTTCCAGAGGACCTAGGTGGAATTACACCTGTAACTCCAGTTCTAGAGGATCTGACACCCTCTTATGGTCCTCACAGGCACTGCACCCGTGCGGTACCAGCACCCAGGCAAAATACTCACACACAGGAAAGTAAGCAGTAGTGATTCTTCCTGATGCTAAGAATGTTAGGCTTGGCACCAGGAGTGGTAGTGCACACCTAGAATCCCAGCGCTCGGGAGGTAGAAACAGGTGAAACAGGAACAGGAATTCAGGGTCTCCTTGGTTACATAGTGAGTTCAAGGTCAGTCAGAGCTACATGAGAAACTATGTCAAAAATAAATAAGCCAAGTGGTGGTGGCACATGCCTTTAATCTCAGCACTCAGCAGGCAGTGGCAGGTAGATTTCTGTGAGTTCGAGGCCACCCTGGTCTACAGAGCAAGATCCAAGACAGGCAGGACTCCACAGAGAAACCTGTCTCAAAAAAAAAAAAAAAAAAATATATATATATATATATATATATATATATATATATATGTATGTATATATATACAAAAATTAAAAAAGAAAGAAAGAATAATAAACAAACATGGAGAAATGGCTTAGTGGTTAAGAGCACTGGCTACTCTTCCAAAAGACCCAGGTTCGAGTCCTAGATCCCGTATGATGGTTCATAACCCATAGGCTGTCTATAACTTCAGTCTTATGGTACCTGTTGCCCTCTTCTGGCTCCTGTGAGCACCAGTCATGCACAAGGTGCGCAGATACATGCAGGCAAGACACTTAGACACGTAAAATAAAAGTAACTTTAAAACAAACAAAAAAGAGCATTAGGTTGTCTGTCGCTGTGGTGCTGTAGCAGGGTGGTAGAATGTTTGCCTCGTGTGCACAAGGTCTTGTATTTGGTCTCTAGTCACACACACACACACACACACACACACACACACACACACACACGCACGAACGCACGCGCACACACACGCACACACCCTCAAAACCCTGAAGGATGTTAAACTGGTTTCTCCCACTGGTTTCTCCCACTTGTGCGTCAAGGTCATGTGAGCATTATTGGTCTTATAAAAACACTAAGAGTATAGGTGCTTGTATTGCAGTAGTTGCCGTGGCCCTTTTGAAGCAGCCCACAGCACCGATGTCCCAGCCAAAGCCAGCCATGCACTCAGTGGGGTCTCAACGATGGTTTTAAAGGTTGAATGTTATATATTCATGGGTTAATGCCCTGCTTTGTAAAGGAGAAATGATACTGACTGATCAGCATGCTGGGAGATGATGCTCTCCAGGGAGAGGCTCACTTAGCCAGTATATGGGGTTATCTATACATCAGGACGCCAACTCACTAGCTCAGGCAAGATCAGGATTGGGAGTGACAGAAATCCCAAACTGTCACCCACAGATTTTCAGTGAGCAAATGGAGTTAGCTGGCTTGCAGCCACGGCAGGCTTAATTCCTGTGCACTTCCTGAATATCTGATTGTATTCTTCACCAGTCTCCCGTTTGGAGATATCACGCTGTTTCTCCTAAGCAGAGGCAATGTTTTATTGTTTTCTTCTTTGTAAAAAAATCTCCATTTATTTACTTGTGTGTGTGTGTGTGTGTGTGTTTGCACCCACATGCCTGCACATGTGTTCAAGTGTGCTCACATTAGTATGTGGATATCAGAGGACGGTTTTCAGCAGTGGATTCCCTCCTTCCACCATGTGAGTCCTGGGATTGTGGCAGGTGCCTTTACGTGCTGAGCCGTCTCACTGGCCTCCACCTCGGTCTTCTAAATGAAAACTAAAGTAGAGTTTGGTCACATTGAGACTTTTTTTTTAGAAAGTGGAAATCATTTGCATTTGATTTTCCTCATGAATAGAAAAATAAATATGAGCCGGGCGGTGGTGGCGCACGCCTTTAATCCCAGCACTCGGGAGGCAGAGCCAGGCGGATCGCTGTGAGTTCGAGGCCAGCCTAGGCTACCAAGTGAGCTCCAGGAAAGGCGCAAAGCTACACAGAGAAACCCTGTCTCGAAAAACCAAA